CTGACACATTAACATGAATTTCAGATTCACAAAAAAGAATCGAGCAGAAGTCAAATTGTCATTTTACGTTTTAATTTCCAAAATTTGGTGCTGAAAACATGAGGTGACAATATTCTAAATGGGGAATTATGTTGATGATATGAACAATAGATNTAGCTGTGGTTGAATATTCCATAACAGTAGAGAACAGGAATGATGATATTTTCATAATATCTGACACATTAACATGAATTTCAGATTCACAAAAAAGAATCGAGCAGAAGTCAAATTGTCATTTTACGTTTTAATTTCCAAAATTTGGTGCTGAAAACATGAGGTGACAATATTCTAAATGGGGAATTATGTTGCCCTGGTGGATCTGTCGGTTGTAGAATCGAGTTGATCAGTATATCGATTCGTGTGCGAGTGTAGTTCGATTCAGATCTCAGATTATTGATGGAATCGAAGATGAATCGACTTCATAGGAAGTCGATAGCCAGTGAATTTCGAATGACAAAAATTTATTGCACCAAAACTTGAACGACTCATGGGGTAGTCGATTATGAAAGACTGCTTATGGTCGGACCAGGATTGACTTGACGAAAGTCGATTGTGACTCGATTGCCTGCATATTATTCACATCAATCAACCCACAATCGACCAGTTGTTGAGTCATTTCATATAAGTGAATAATATGAAGTCAATCGAGTAATAATCGACTCAAGGATCAGTCGATTCTCCCACTGAAATTATGAAAACTATTATGAAACGACTAAACAACTGGTCGATTGTGGGTCGATTGACTTGAATAATGAGGACAATCGAGCTACCATTGACTTGACAGCGAGTCGATTCATTTACTAAGTATAAGAAACTAATATGAAACGACTGAATAACTTGTCGATTGTGGGTCGATTGACTTGAATAATGAGGACAATCGAGTCACAATCGACTTTCTTCAAGTCGATCCTGGTCCGACCGTAAGGAGTCTTTCATAATCGACCACCCCATGAGCCGTTCAAGTTTTGGTGCAATAAATTTTTGTCATTTGAAATTCACTACCTATCGACTTCCTATGAAGTCGATTCATTTTCGATTCCATCAATAATCTGAGATCTGAATCGAACTACACTCGCATACGAATCGATATACTGATCAACTCGATTCTACAATCGACAGTCGATTGAATCTCAATCGGGGGATCCGCCAGGGTGATGATATGAACAATAGATTAATTGAATTACCGAGTGAACTGATTGAAAAATTGTATCACGGTGTTGGCAAGCACTTTTACCAGAGTATCACCAAACATTGAATTTCGGCAATTTACTCTTCGAATTATGTTCGAGTAGAAATTGGATTGTAATTATGATTGAAATTTTATTCAGTGAGCAGAGGAATTAGCATATGCGCAGATTATTTATTGCAATATAAATATTTCATATTTAATAAATTGAGGCACATCATTTTCATCAGTCGCACTACTTTTTGCAATGACAATGATTATAAACAATGAATGGAAGAAAGGAATTCTGAGTCCGATGGGAAAAAAGGCGAAATGAACATTGCAGCCGGAATTGTGTTATAAATATGGTAAGAGAGCCCTTCAGCTTGATTAAGATAGTAATCAAAAGTTGAAACTATTGAAACTAATAATATGAAAATTTTAAAGTAGGTTTTACCGTTTATGTGAGCACTCATCAAGAGATTGTTAGAAATTAATAAATACGTGTTTCAGGTTCGTTACAAAATCCATCTCTAAGGGGGTGAATAGGGAATGAATTATAGAAACTTCGAGGAAGGTTGCAGGTTTCCAAAAAAATCAGAACTGTCAATTTTTTTCCTAAATGTAAGATAATTCGGGAGTTTTCCAAAAATTCAATACAATTATGAGGTTTTCTGAAGAACTGATTAACCCATTTGAGGATTAACCCATTTGAGGAGCTCACAAACAATAATTTCATTAAAATTTTTCGTTTGACAAAAGAGAGAGTATCAAATTTAATTGATATTGTCGGTCAGTATGAACCAGGTCCGATTAGGCGTTCAGCGTTGGATATTCAAACCAAGGTAAGTAATAAAAGAATAATTAATGAAGTAAAATTGTCACGATTTGTAAGTTCTAAACGAAGTGACAGCGAATGAATATAAATTTTCGTATCACCATTTCAACTTACACAATATCAAAAAAAAAATTATTAAAATAGCGCGAGGTAAGAACGATGCAGTGATGTAAATTGGCTGTGGAAATTCCCTCCTGACATTTTCTTTGAATAAAAATCTACAAACCCCAAAGAAGTTATGAGGAAAACTTTTGCATGTTCCTTGAATGTAGAGATAATTATTGAAAAAATCAACATTCATTGAAGTTTATATCTAACCTTTCTTCACGACTAAATGGGGAATTAAACGATATTTGTGTGATTATCTAAAGAACGAGTGGATTTAACAAGAGTTGTGTGAGATTTTCTCTTTCATTAATAATTCCTATTGTTCCCTACAATCTGACTTTACATATTCTCGTTAGAGGCTGCATCTCCGAACTACATTGAAGTCTATAATTCATTAAGAAAAGAATTAATTGTGAATTGTACAATTCATTAATAAAATATAACGTTGATTGCAGTTTGATATTCTATTCGAAATTTGGATAATTATTCATGACTGTGTACTTGTTTTTTTTTTTAATGAGTGAATTAACGCCTAAATTTTAATGACTTGCTTTGTTTCTCTAAACAGTTTGAATTGTTTTAACGATTTTCCTGAACCTATTCATGGTTTGCAGGTGCTTAAAGCATTGAGTTTTTTGCAACTGGTTCCTATCAGTTGGATATTGGGATGGGTCGATATTCAGCTATCAGTCAACCATCTGTGAGTCGATCCATCCACACTGTCATTGAAGTTTTCAATCGTCCAGAAATTTTTGAAGAGCATGTGGTTCTACAGGAACATCGACGAAGTCCGAGCATCTCGTGATCGGTGTGTGGTTGTTTCAAAGTTCTGCATATTACTCACTATAATGCCATATATTCTCTTATAAGTTGATAAATTTATAGATTTTTGCGTGGATTTAATTTTCCACATGCAATTGGCTGCATCGATGGAACTCACGTGGCAATTGTTCCTCCTAATGTTCACCACCCAGTTCATCCTGAGAATATTTACGTGAATCGTAAAGGATATCACTCTCTGAATGTTCAATTGCTAAGTAAATCAAGTGCTTAACGATATTATAAGTTTCCTTCCTCTTTCCGATTCTCCTATTACTTTATTTTTTTTTTCATTTGACAGATCTGTGATGCTCAATTCACAATTCTTAACATCAATGCTAGATATCCTGGGAGTGCAAACGATTGTGCAATTTGGAACAACAGCAATGTTGAACCATTGATGCGCCGATTGCACAATTATCATGGTGAACCCTTCTATTTGCTAGGTAACATTGAGTACAGATTGATTTATTACATCATAAATAAATAAAACACCATAAGTAAATAAATATTACATCATCTTCACCAGATTTATTTGGAGTTATGCATTTTTTGTAATCAATGGAATATGGGGCAATAGGAAAAATCATGGATTAGACGGTATCAAACATTTCTAGGGGATGCAGGATATCCACTGAGACCGCGGCTCATGACACCATTCCAAGATCCATTAGAAAACTCCCCTCAAGCTGCTTTTAACAACGTGTTTTGTCGAGCCAGATCGATCATTGAACGGGTTAATGGTATTCTTAAAATGAGATTCCGTTGTCTTCTGAAACATAGGGTCCTTCATTACGACCCTACAACTGCTGCGAAAATTACCAACACTGGTGCCATACTTCACAACATGGCAATAGCGGAGGGTTTCCTTTTTCCGGCTGGAGAGGATGAACCCTATGTGGACAATGAAGATTATGGAATGTTTAATGATGAGGAGCTGGACGAAGTTAATGTGCTTAGGCGACGTGTTAATCCAGAGTTAGCGGCAGGTAGAACACTTCGAGATCGGATCGTTAGACGGTGGTTCACTAGGGACTGAACAGGACATGTAGAATCATAACGGACCGGGAGAATTTAGAAAACCAATATTGTTATCAATTATTCATGAAATTGATTTCATGCAGGCTTTGAGAAACATAATGAAGTTTAAAAAACGAACATGATGTTAACATGCATTTTTATTTATTCAAATATTTTTTGTGGAAAACACAAATGGTTATTTACCTCAGCAATCCACTATCAATATTCCTTCATTAATTATCAACAGTGTTCATGCTTATTATCTAATTATTACCTAGGACTTCATCATACGAACAGTTTAGTTTCCCCTTTTTGTAATGATTAGGCTTACTTTGTCTTTTTTTTCAAGGATTAAAGTATTTTCATCTTACCATCTTCTATAACTCAATTTTTTATCATTGCTACAACCTCTCGCTTACGGTTTCAGTTCACCAGATTCATTATCTCCGCTTCTTATATCATTAACAATACTTCTACATTTTAATATGTTATCATACCTTCAACGTCTAGCTTATTTTTTATTTGCACTGAACACAGCCATCTTGGAGTACTATCAACCAGCCCCATACTTATTTTTGGCAGTCATTGACAGTATCAATGTTGTACTTATACAGTAGAAAATATTTTCATCTTCATATATAGATTTTATAGATTATAAAAACGCGAATCTCTGATAGATTGGTAATGTATCACAAAAAAAACATTAAGAAATTATTAATCAGGGAATTTTCTGGATAACGAATAATAATAAAAACTACAGACTTTTTTGGCTGGAAATTGATCCCAGGACCACAAGGATTGTTGATTCTATGTCCTGAGATAATTTGTTTCGAATGATTTGTTTCAAATAATTAACACAAATAAATTCTGGATCGAAAAAGGAAGATTAATCAAATAATGCTCGATACAATGTAAAAATATTTTTGAGCATGTTTCTATCAACTATGAAAGTCTCTCGATATTTTATCGAGTATTCATTTATCCTAATAATATCAAGTAGACAGTTATGACTATGAATGAAAAAGAAACATTTATTGACAGGTTACCAGTCCACCAATTAAGAAAGAAAAAGAATTTGTTGATAGAAAAAATCCGAAGAACAATCACCACGGATTATATAGCTTGTTGCTGATGTTGCTCAGGACTCCGGACTGGAAGATCATAGCTCGAGCTTTTTTGGCACCCTGGTATAATTGCTGGTCAAAATATTTTCTCTTCATCTGTAATTCATCATTAAACAACGCCAGGATGTTCTCTGAATTTCTCAATGATGCATCTTGGCGGTGTACTGCCATTGACCTCTTTTTGCTGGGAAACGCTGCGAGAAATGAAAGAGGATTCGAACTATTCTCATTAATTAACATGATATACCACAAATATGACAGAAAACCGTTACCTGCATCTTCCGTTTTCACTGTAACTTTAAAAGGATTAATGACAGATCCTGGAGGTTTTGTCTTTTTAACTGCATTGAGCTCAGTTAGATGATTATCTTTTTTAACATTCAGAGCCCCTCCATTCCGTACCTCCAGCTTGGTCTGTTGGATAGGCTCCTGGCTATTCCAAGCTACTGACTCTGTTTTTGGCTCACGGGGCTCAACTTTTGACAGGGAGGACTCAAACTCCATCATGAGGACCTCAATGTTAGGCAGGGGAGCCTCAGGATTTGAGATTAATCCTCCAGCATCAGATTTTGTGTCGATTTCCTTGACATCAGGTTTCTCTAAATCGTCCAACTTGGCATCAGCATAAGAATCACGTGTCAAGGGAGTGACTTGACTGAAGTCCACCACAGAAACTTTCTTCTCATCATCATTATTCTCATCGTCTTTATCATCAACAGTGGCATCAACCTCGTCAGCACCAGCTCCATCCACATCCTCCTCATTCTCCTACAGTAAAAACATTTGAAATTAGTCTGAACGAAATTATGAAATTTCCAAGAATATTCACAGAAAAAATAGCAACTGATTCCAGAATGTCGTTATTGCCAGTCACTAATAATTTCGGCACTAGGGCTGCCAATGTCTGTTCCTCTTCTGGAGTCAAATCCACATGATCTGCAGGTCCACCCCCAGTTTTATTCAAACTTTTGTTTACTGCAGTGACTTTAGCTTTCACCATCCTTACCCGGTCATGCAGTGACTGAAATAGATGATACATTAGTAAAAGAAAGGAGAAATAAATTCTGCATGTTTTTAAGTACTATATTTTACTGCTCTTGCAATTTAAAATATCTGATAAAAAAATGAAAAATTTGAGCCGAGAAATGTCTACACTAATTATCCCAATAGAATAAGCCATGTGGCAAAAGCAAATTCTAGTGATTTTTTCCATGAAATATTTACTTATGAAAATTTTAATTGGAAAAAAACGCGCAGATAAGCTGCAGAATTTATCAACAGAATTGTCCGAAAGTTTATAGAAAGCAGAAAGTTCAGTAGAAATTCAACAGAATTTTAAACCAATTCACAAAATTATTTATATGATTTTATTTTATACATGGATGTCTGTGGAAGGATGGAATTATTTAATCTCGTATGTTTTGAGAAAATTTTGTGGTCATTTCAAATGGGTAATATTTCCGGTGATGAGAAATTTTTGACAATGGTATGAACTTTTTGTAAATCTTTTAAATTTTAAATAATAATCGTTGGAATCACGTACGGAAAAATTTAATTTCCTATCGAATTTTCAACGTTCTTATATTGAATTTTATCGGTCATGCTTTTACAAAAAAAGACGTATTTTCAATTTAAATGGGTAACATAGGGTAGTGAAAAGTTTAGCAATGAATATCAAATGTTCAATCGCATTAAAAAAATGTTCAATCACATTAAATAAAAAAAAAAGTTGAATATCTCGAAATCTAAGAGAGATAGCATAATTTTTGTGCTACCTTTTTTTTAGCCCTCAATTAACTCCACAAAAAATGTCTTCAGGTTTCATTATCTCCCTTAGATAACGAAATATTTATACAAAACTGGCGAATGATCAAAACAAACTTCAACCCTTTTACTGCTTCGCGACTGAATTCCCCTTTAAGACATTTAACACTAGTGATTCTAGCTTGGATAATCGCTAATTATCATTTGAATCTGTGTGCATGAAAAATGTGAAAATTATATATTGAGACCCTAAAAATTGCATGTGTTTGGAATCAGTGAGTGGCGTATCCATCAGCCCATACTTAACTTAAAAATAACGTTTATTGGCTTACTTTTTTCCATTGTTCTACAGTCTTTTCGGTACCACTGGGCATTTCATTTAGCTGCCCCTGAATTTTAATCCACAGTTGCTTGATTCTTGCTCTTGTTACATCATTTGTTAATTTCGCATTTGATAATTCTGGGACAGCTTTAGCCCACTCAACCAACACCTCCAATTGTTTTTTGAATGCATTGGAAGCACGCTGACCGATATCATCCTCGTGTTTCTTAGATTTCGCTGTTTTAGCCTTACCCGTTTTCGAATTTTTATTCATTTTGGAAACTGTAATGAATATCAGGGCAGTTAGAGCGAGGTGTGTGTACGGTGATGTCCGTTGATGCAAAATATTATGTGTGGAAATAAAATGTCATGTGCGGAAATTCACGGTCGCACATGACAAGTTTGAAACTCAGACCCAAGTGTGGAAACCGATGTTCGCACATTCGAAATGCGGAAATCGACGGTCACACATGCGAAGTGCGGAGCCCGGCACTTCCACATGCGGAACCATGTGAGAACACAACTCGAGATTCTCGAGTCGAGAATAGAACACAAAGAGGACAGACCTGAGTAGAGGCCCGGATCGGGGGGTTTGACTGACTCCAAAAATGTTAGTTGGTACCCCACGGGAAAGGCGGCGTCCCGGTCGAATTGTCGGTAAATGTGAGTCAGGTGCGTGAGTAACTCGACAGTAGCAGTCCCGCTGTGACAGGGACAGGTTCGGAGGGGGATTTTTGTCCTCCTTGTACTCAATGTTTACTTAATGTTTTTCAGTTGATTTATTCGCCGACTAATTAATATTAAGGGATGAAACAAAGACTGTTCGATGGAGAATTAAATTCCCCATCCTTCAACGCCCGTTTCATTCCTTAATCTCCGTAATAAAAAAATAAAAACTGCGACGAAAGTCGCGGCGCTATGAAAAACCTAATGGNCTCCGTTGCATCCCTTAATCTCTCTAATAAAAAAATTAAAACTACGACGAAAGTCGCGGCGCTATGAAAAA